TTATATACTGTGTGTAGTTTACGCGAGTATTGCACATTTAAATAACCCACTCTGATCGATTTAAAACACGAAACGTATATGTTAAGCTTCTTTACACACTAACTACAGCCCGACGCGGACGTTTCGGATGCTTTACAATGGTAAGAACATCTTCTAAATAAAACAATTTAATAGTTTAAAACGTGATATATATTAGTTATCCTTATTTAAAAATTATTTTATTTTTCGTCCAATTTCGACGCAACTTCGACGCAACAGATGGCGTCATCTTTAGTCTTCCCGTGACCACGACTGCTGCAAAGCATCCAAAATGTCGGGCCGTAGTCAAAATTATTTTCAAACAAGCTTAACTAATATATATCGGCTTTTAAACCGTTAAAAAGTTTTATTTAAATGTGTAGGTACTACTCGCGTAAACTACAGACAGAATTTAGTGAGAACATCTGTCTAAACTTTTTTGCTATTAAGTCATAGCAAGCAACCTTCGTGTTCAAGAATGGGTAACAGCAGTCCCCACATGACTTAAGCTAGCGTTAACGATGGGAAGCCCGTTAATGAAGAAGAAATTCAGCAGCTTAACGAATAGCTAACAAAATGTTCCACCTGGCACGTCTCCAACCAATTAAACCTGACTGATGCGGATACGCTTATCTACAAAAATTGGGCCCATTGTCGCACTGCGGTTAAGTTATTAATACCGACACATTTTTGTGTCCGTTCGCCTTGAAAAATCTGTTATAGAAACTAAAGCTTCACGACTCTTGTGCTTTACCAAACGCATTAACTAAATTGTAATTACATTGGATTTTTAAGAATTAAATAAGTTAAGTTATTACTTACAGTAATATTTTACTGGTAACGAAATAAAATATGTTAAATCAAGCCTGAAGTATGTATAAACACATTTAATGCCAATAAGTCTGAATAGGAAGAAGTAAATAATAAGCAAATTCCATAGATTTTTTTTATTAACAGCTTATAAAATCGAATTCTTACAGTTTAGAGTTACAAATGATTAATTTAGTAAACTATAATAATATAATTAATAAATTGTTGTATTGAGTTCTAATGCCGAATGAGGTATTGCCTATCGTACAGTACCTTATAAACGTGTTTACTATCTAGTCTAGATCTTTTACTTAGTAAAATTAGTTCGGAGTTAGTAGTACAAACTATAATTATTAATGACTAAAATATTATATTCGATTAAAAAGCGAAATGTTATTATGTTGAATTGAAACAACGCCAGGCCGAAGTTAAAATCAACACAAATAAGGTAACTTTTAAATCGATAACCGTTTTTCTTAAAAGGTGTTTTGCATACATGTTGCGTAAACTGCGGACAATATTTAGTGCTCATATTTTTCGAAAACAACCTTTCATCTCCGTTTTTGGTTCGAAACGGATGCACTTAAGTAAAATACGATCACAAGAAAGTAAATGGATTTTGGTGCCATTATCACAAAGCTATCGAATGTATATAAAGTGTCGTGAAGATCTGAGAATGCCCGGAAAAGGCCAAAAACCGTCGAGTCATCGCTTGAACAAGATAAATTAGATCCAATGACGGGACCTGTAGATCCTGACTTACACGCGAGAATAATTAAAATGTCTTTTACAATATTAAGAGTAATTCTAACAAAATTCAGCCAAGTGCAAGTTGTAATCCCGCACTAATGGTTTATTAATAAAAGTATTTCTCATGTCGATCAATTTCTTAATCATAAAATAATATACTGTCTATAGTTTACACGAGTAGTACACATTTAAATAAAACACTTTAACGGTTTAAAACGCGATATATGAGTTAAACTTATTACTTACGGGGAGACCCCCGTGACCACGGCTGCTGCAAAGCATCCGAAACGTCGGGCCGAAGGTAAAAATCGTTTTCAAATAAGTTTAACTAAAATATCGCGTTTTAAACCGTTAAAGTGTTTTATTTAAACATAAAATTATACGCAAATAAATACATCGCCATGAAAACTCATTTGTTACTGAATCTATTTTTTTTATTTTACATTATTATTTCGCAGTCAATATCAATTATCTATTTATAATAGGTTCTCTTTGCAAGTGACATATTGTGAAGCTATTTTAGATTTGTTTTTAATAACGCTGAGTATTTATATTTATTTAAATATATTATTTTCATGTTTCTAACAAGTTTACCTGTATATACGTGTTGTATATGAATATATGTCTTTTATATATTTTACTAGCGACCCGCTCCGACTTCGCTCGGCTCCAATGCAGATACTATATACACTACAGATAAACTGTGAACGTTGTGTGAACCTTTCTCTTGAAACACTCTCTCTATTGAAAAAAACACTTAAAAATCCGTTGCGTAGTTATAAAGATTTAAGCGGGACATAACATAGGGACACAAAAAGCGACTTTGTTTTATAATATGTAGTCATGAATGTCTCAATGTGTAATATAAAATTACCAACAAACAATACGGGTATTACTGTAGTAACAGGCCACATATTTATGTTGGTTTTAAGTACTTTTTAACAATAAAAAGCCATCATAAAACGTGTGTGTTATCTTAAAACAAAACTAAAACAAAATAGCGCCGTATATATTATAGCATCACGTCGTTTATATGCCTCCAAGTTACAGCAAACTTTGCAACGCAGGTGCTAATTATGACTTCGAAGTTTCCCCCCATTATAGGTAGACCTCCCGTGTTTTCCGTCCGGCGCTGGATTCCATCGGATAGAGGGATACATATTGGCAATAATGAGGGTCAGCACATACTGGTGCTTTGGTATGAATGGTACTTCACTAATGGTATCGGTTGCGCGATAATGCCCCGTTGAAATGCAACCACGTAAGATGCAAATTGAAACAAAGGAATTATTTTTTTATTATCAGAAAATTTTGGTTTATTTTGCGTTTTTTAATATAATAAATATTTTTTACTTTGTAAAAGTAGAACCTCCCAATGATGTCGTCTCGCCATCACGAGGACGGCATCATCAGGAGATGTTGTTATCTAGATAGATATTGTTGTCGAGAGAGCCTTTTACCTACACAATTTATTAAGACAAATATTTGTAAAAAGGGGAATTGAAATAATAAAATCCACACAAATTAAAAATAACACTTACATATTATACGATATTATATGAGTTAAAAATAAATGTTTAATTAGATTAAGGATTAACGTAGATATGGCGATAGTACATCGTATTAATAGGATTTTATCCATGCATCACGGAAAATAAATGATAGTTGGAACACGAAAACTAGTAGTTTCGTATATATCCTCACGTGCAACTCGTAATAAGCGACGATCGCAAGCGTCGTAATTAATCACGCCGACACAACTTTTAATGAGACAAGTGTGCTTGGGGTGACGTTGTTTTGGTCTTTTTTAGAACGTGTAAAAGCCAGGATAGATCCTTTTTAAAATCAATATCAAAAATTATTTATTTATTTTTGTATTACACTTGTGAAGCATAGAGTATGAAGAGTGCGCTCGTAAATACTATTAAGTTTCAAACTTACGGTCTAGAACAAAAATAAATAATTGGCAAAATACTCACCGCCACTATTTTTATTGTAAAACTTTATTGAACTGCACTGCTGAACCATTTTTCTTAGGCCTTTTTTTATGGTAGAGGAGGAGGGACAAGCATGTTCTTCCACTTGATGGTAGGTGTATTAACCCAGCCATATAACATCTAAGCAATTTGATCTGACGCTCTATTTTAACTTTGGATTTTGGAAATGTCGATTTCCAAAATCCAAAGACTAAAACCGAAACGCGATTGCGCATCACACTTTTTTATCTATGGGAATGAAAGTAGTGACTCAAATTAGCAAATTTAATTATAACATACGATAAAATGAATGATAAATGGTTGTAAGATATCTTTCCTTTAGACAGATTAAAGATAAACCTGATAATAAAATTACGTATTAAAAGTATAAATACATGAATGACAGAATATAAAAGATTTTGAAATCTGAAAATATCCACTATTAATCAATAATGATAACCACCCTAATGCATCGCTGACGTGAAGACAAGTGTGCGTTGTAATGTGCTATCTCACTAATGGCAATGTTTTTGACATATTCCGCCACTTGCAGAAATGTGGTTTGGTTTTCAAGAAATTTTGTACATTTAAAACAATTTATGTAAAGTTGACAGACACATTATTGAATAAGAGTGAAGAAACGAGAATTATACTTTTTGTCCTTAATTATTGTTATATTACCAATTACAATAATTTAATAATACCATAGCATACTCAGTAGATTTATTATCCATTTCCCAGAATTGAGCAAAATGGAAATAGCTTATAAATGATTTCTGGCCTTAATCCGTTAAGAGTAACAGGTACTATGGAACTCGTCAATTTCTAATCGCTTTGTGTGGTCGTTTGATCGCAGGTAGCTTCTTTGCGGCGAGCGGACCGTGAAATTGACTAGTGTATTGTCTGACCTGATCGAAATTACTTCCCTCGCTATTGGCCTGTAAATACTTGCTCGATTCATGCTTGTACATCCAATGCAACATTTACAAACAAAGAATGTTTGTATCGATGCGATTGTTACAAATTGCTATTGTAAATTAAACTCGAATGCAACACAGAACTACAGAGGCTGATCGAATTCACCGGCTAATCTAAACACATTTTTATATGAGGTCTTTACTCTAAGTATTGCGCTATGTAATTACATTAAATATATTTCGTTTTCAGGTTCACCTTTGAAATCCCCCAACACAAATTTTTCTTTAAAAATAAAGGATATAAATATCTGGATATCAAATAAGATGTTCTTAAAGCGACTGAAAATTTCACTGAATCCACTTGAATGAAACAAGGATACTGTCTATAGTTTACACGAATAGTACACATTTAAATAAAACAAGGATACATATATATATAGTTTAAATTTTTATTACGTATCAGTCTTTAACACCAAGCCTTTTTTATTGCACTATTATTTTCAGACGTATTTTTTTCATGTTCAATTTATTAAATTTGTTCTCTACAATATCCTAACCAATCTGGCTTGAACCCCATTGGACAATGATGCGGGACGGAGACAATGAATTTAGAAGGTTTTACTTCTATGCAACCACCGTTATCGTCTTTTACAGAACCTTCTGGACAGTGTGATCCAACTTCTATTTCTGTTTTATCGCAATCTTCGCACAATTTTCCGTGATACTGTGGTTCAATAACTTCGACGTCGTCTTTAGGATTAATACTTGCTTTTACTATTCTTTTGTCTTCGATATCCACATTAATATTGTTTTTGTCCGGTGCGTTTACATTCCCTTTCAATTTATCATATACATAAGTCTTAAAGACTTTAAACACTCCACTGAATATTTTGGTCACGACATTTTCTTTTGGAATATATTCGCTTTCTTCGTCGTTCGTTTTCTGTCGAAATATATTTATATTGTTAACAACAATATTCGCCAGCAGTTCACTCCACGATGTTGAATTGGAGCTTTCTGACATGTAACTTAGTAATTTACGTTTCACTGAAAAATGTCCCGTATTACTTTCACCATAACTGAAACTGTTTATACTTATTATTAAAAATAATAACACTATTATTTTCATGTCTGTAAAATTCTGTGACGACGCGTATTTCAACTAACTGCAGAATTTAACTCCGTAGATAATAGCGATAAGAGAATTTTATGTACAGTCATGAAATGAAGTGTTTAAATGGAGTTTAGGATTTTTTATTTTATTTATTGTAAGTACTTGTACTTAAAAAAAGTCAAATTACTCTTAAATATCTTTATGTTAAATAAGCAATTAAGTTAATTATAATTTGAAAAGATACAAAAAGCAATGGCTCTGTTCCAACTGGCTTGTTTCTGTTCACTTAATATGTATATACAATTATATGACGTCACCACAAAATAAGCTTTGCCAAGTTCTTACCGGCCGATTAGCTTAAATTTTATCTGTAGCGACAGTTTAAGTGCAAAATTTTGTTCAACATATATAGCATCAATTTATGTAATTGATTCGAAACTAACAAATAAAGAAAGTTAAAAAAAATACTACACAGCCAAGACCATTTTTCCTGCACAACAGTTGCAAAATTTTGAAAGGCTAGTTAGTGTAATGGTAGCAATCCATGCTTAATAATTAACAAGTCGCGGGTTCGAACCTCATCGGGCCAACAACTGATATTTACTATTATTGCAGTTCAAAACCTGGATATTAAAGTGGTAAAATATTGACAGTTGATCAACGTCTACAGAAAAAAAGCCGTAATGTTTCGGTTTTACTTTGTGGATTTACGAATATCAGAAATAAAACACAACGATGATTCTTGTTAGCTGTATGTTTGGAGTATTTTACCTTCCATCAACAAAACCCTACGCTCTTTTGTTCTCTTCTATTATAAAAAAGTATGTATTGAAGTTTTCCAATAATACTTTTTATATTTATAAAAGTTTCTTAATATTATACTTTTCTTTGCTACTGTCCACGTTATCGTCTAGATATCATTTGATAATAATAAAGTAAATATTAACTGTGTGACGCTCGATTAACCTTTTGTGTGGAAAACAATCATTATCTCAAAATTTCGAGTTACTAAAAATATATCAAGGACGATTAGGAAAGTACGTTCTTAAAGAATGCACCCATAGATAAAAAATAGTTTTAATCATTTGATTTTACAATGTTCGTAGCAATGTCGTGTTGTGTTTTGATCAAACCATCCTAAAAAGATTTATTGTAGAAGCAAATGACTTAAATTATCTCTAAAAATGTTGTACTTGTGCACTGCCTGTAGCTTACGCGAGTAGTACACATTTAAATAAAACATTTTTAACGGTTTAAAACGCGAAATGTATTCGTTAAACGAATTATTTTAACTACAGCCCGACGTTTTGCTAGCTTTGGTAAGATTATTTTCGGGCCATAGTTAAAATATTTTGTAAATGCATTTTAAACATTTTGCGTCTTAACCTTAAAAATTTTTAAAAATGTTTTAAAAACCGTTAAAAGTGGCTTTGACGTTTCGAATGCTTTAGTCAGTATACTTCCGACACATAGTTTAACTAATAAATTTCGAGTTTTAAACCTTTAAAGTGTCTTATTTAAATTTGTAGTTGTTTTAAAGTATATTTCTGAGCGGAGTTACGTATAAGGAAAAAAGGGCCAGAATTACTTCATACACTCCACCATACATTCGGGTCATCTGACGGTTAACCTATTTGATATTGGAAAACATTCTCCCTCAGCCTCAAAGACTTTGTCCGAAGGCGAGCAGAGCCGTGAAATTGAGTTGACGGCACGAACTCTGTATTACTTGATAATAGTGCCAATATGTATCCCAGATTTTCAGTTGAGAGTACTCGGCCGGTATCAACAAAAGATTTTGAAATAGTCCTTCCATTTTTGAATATCAATATTTGGAATCTATCAATAAGTATTTAAATAAAACACTGTAACGGTTTAAAACGCGATATATTAGTCACGGGGAGACCACGGCTGCTACAAAGAATCCGTAACGTCGGGCCGAAGTTAAAAATCATTTTCAAATAAGTTTAACTAATATATCGCGTTTTAAACCGTTAGAGTGTTTTATTTAACTGTGTACTACTAGCGTAAACTATAGACAGTATTTAAAAATAAGTATGTAAAATAAATAAGTGTCGACGATTGGAACTCAAGGTATATCATACAAAGTTATATAATCTACTTGCTCCATTCAGGATCAGGAGGATTTTATGATAGAGGAGGACAGATAAGCATTAGGGTTAACTTGATGGTAGATGAGATACCCCAGACATGTAACATCTAAACAAAATGCGCTGTCAACCTGTTTGGGCTTTGGATATGCGAAAATCCACAGACTGAAACCTAAACGTGATTAATCTGTGGAACCGATTTTTATCTGTGGAAGTGGTTCGTTCGTGGACGCAATTTCGATATTTCTACCAATAAATCAGATTTTCCGACGGAGTCCAACATGATTCAACAAAGTTATAAATATATTAGAAAATTGTTGGAACCGATGGGAATCGAACCTACGACTTTTAGCCCTATATTGCTAATTTATTATACATATTATACTTTGGAAAATGTAATTAATAAAACGGATTTAAACAGCTCAAAATGCAAATTGTATATGGTATGAAAATTAAACATCGGTATACAGTAAGGGATGCTGAAAAACTTCCAAAAGGTGGGATGTGGGTTAAATTGAAAAAAAGTATAGTTCGCAATTCAACATGTTTAAAATTGGTTTTATTTGATTTGTATCCCCTCGCGTAAATCACAGAAGCAACAAAAACAATTCAATACATATGTAAGTGCATGAAATGATTTAAAATAAATAAATGTTTTATTTAATGTCCTTACTGAGCTCGGAGTAAGTTTCTGAGTTACAAATAGAATTGTTTAAAACATGAAACAGGAGCTTAACGGAATCAACTGGCAAGCGAACAGAACCAACCAATAACATAGAAAATGCAACAAACGATTGAATTTCAACCCTCTTTATTTCATTTTGTGCTTCGTTAGGGCTACCTCTTTACAACCGTAATTCATTCTATTTGCTTATATATCTACACTGTTTCAGAAGTAAGGAACAAACATAAAATAAAAACAGTGTTGTTGAATAAAATAAACTCAAAATATCTCTTCAGTTTAAATAAAACACTTTAACGGTTTAAAACGCGATATATTAGTTAAACTTATTTGAAAATGATTTTTAACTTCGGCCCGACGTTTCGGATGCTTTGCAGCAGCCGTGGTCACGGGGTCTCCCCGTAACTCGTCTCGCGTAACCTATAGACAGTATCTCTTCAGTTTTTAAGTACCGATTCTAAAAAGCATCTGAAATTAGCAATGGTGTTCGCATTTACTGATAAAAGTGTTTTAATTAAATAATCTTGAATTAAAAACGATAATTAGTTAGATCAACATGCGGTTGAGGATGCCGGTTTAAGTACTGCTCGAGTCGTATTTTTTTTCAATGTATAGTTAGAATAATAATATTTAAGTATTAAGTTATATTTGCAATAAAAAGTTTTGTAGCAAATTTCTTTCAAAAGCATGTCACCCCTAAAAGAAATTCCTCTAAGGGACGTTGCTAACGCGTTTTTTGCTTCGACATTGTATATTCGTGTTTGTGGGACGTAATTGGAAAGTCTTGTTTCAGTGTATTATAGCGCGACTCCTATTGAAATAAGGGAAAATGTGAGATTTTTTGTAGGTCTTTAGGACATCGTTTTGTAAATGCCACAGTTAGAATTTCAGGGAATAGTCTTTATTGGCCACGTCTGAAATCTAGCCTTTCACGTCTAGCCTTTGAATATAACATATCTGCAGATATACTATTAACACCATAGGATCTAGATGATCGATTTATATTTTTTCTGAAACACGTTGGACCTCGTCTGGAAATCTAGATAGGTGGGTGGTTGAGATATCGAAGTTCCGTTTGGCTCACGAGCCACCGTCCACAGATAGAAAAGCAGTGGTGTTAAATCGCAGTTTTGTTTATCACAAAGCCAAAATACATCGACAACTCATAAAATATATCAGTTAACAAAACGACAAACTAGGTCGCGAATAGCAATTACCTTGCACATACAATCTAAGCATAATAGAGGACAGTTTTAGTTTTCACACAATAATTACGTACTGCTAGGAAGCCGTCTCAGGGGAAATTACATGTCCGTCTGTCCTCACACGTTGTTATTATATCAAGATGCCAGCCCTTTCGGATACGCCCAGAATATTAAGATACTGCCTTTAAGCCTATACACAAAAATATGATCAAAGTACCTTTGTCTAAACCAATGGTCCAAACATACTTTTTATGGTTCAGGATTTTCAACTGAACATTGAGTCTTGTAGGCGGTAATTTAAAATAATGTTTAATATGTAATTTTCCGGGATTGCTCACGTTTGATGGTGTTATATAATATATTAGTCTTATTGAAGAGATATGGGAAATAATAAGAAAAATGTTCCTTAAACTTGATGTGGATAATTTCGTACATCATTATTATATACGAAATCAACACGCAATTTATAACAAGTAAATCTACTGTTTAGTTTATTAAAGATATAATTATAATAAGATTGATGCATGGAAGTTTTTCTAAGTTCAGTTAAGCTTTCAAAGTAAGCAAATCTATAAAAAGTATAAAAATATTAATTTGGAGTGAATAATGTATAGAAAATTATTAATCTTAGATTAGTTGTTTTTTGTGTTATAATATCTTTTAGTATGCATGTAAAATAATTAGGTAAATAACACTATTTTCTAAGGATTGTACGAATTTAGGCCTTAAAGATACCATTCGCATTAATTACCGGAATGACCTGTTAGTTTAGTTCTAATGACTCTAAACGAGATATTTAGAGAAAATGAATGACTTGAATAAATTGTTTTTACGTTTTAAGTTGTTTAACTAAACATGGCAGACCGTTTATGTAATAGACAAGGACCCAACTTAATTATATAAGACCACTTA